GGCTCGGGTGGTGGTGTGGAGACCAAAGAAGAACAACCGCCCGAAATTGGAGCACAGCCACTCGGGAGGTCCCACGAATAACACTCACATTGAGGGAGGACATGGAAGTGACATTGAAGCCTCTAGCGGTAGAAGGAGTGCGCATCAATGAGAAGGGGGAAAAGGAGGTGAAGATTAGGTGGAGCGGCCTCCCAGACTATGAGGCCACCTGGGAGCCACAGGAGAGGATTGCAGAGCAGTTTCCTGCTTTCCACCTTGAGGACAAGATGGTACTTGGGGAGGGGGGTAATGTTAGGCCGGTCCAACCTGGACCGGCCCAGCCGGTCCAAGTCTTCTCCAGGCGGAAGCGGGACGCACAGCCGACGGAAGAAGCAGGGGGCTTGGGGGTGGGGTCCACTAGCAATTCAAACAAAATTTAAGTGATTTTGGAGGGAGAATGAAGGATAGAGATGTCCTTTTGCTTTTGTTTTGAATTAGATTGTATTAAGAGGGAATTAATCTAGGTTTTAGGTTTATCTTGATTATTGCTTGTGTGCTTGAGAATTGCTACGGGGGGAGGTCGTGGGGCTCTAGATTTTCATCTAGAGAGCATCGGGAGAGTGGATCCTCCTCTCGAATAGAGGATCATTGTATCGGTTCGTTATTTTTTTGCAATCTACAACAATTTCCCTCAATTTCTCTCAGTTTTCTTCACGTTGGTTCGATGTTTTTGTGTTTGGTGGCTGTTTTCCCATAGAAAACAGCGGGTTACTTGTGATTTGGCTTCGATTCGATAGGAATCACTTGAAATATTCAAGTGGTACCTATCAAATTGGTACTTACTAAGATGCTCATATTCGCTCAAATATTTCTATTTAGGAGAGTAAGGCTCATCAGGCCATTTATTCATCAATTTTAGAATTTAGATCAATCCATTGGGGCATAAAGGGAGAAGCAAAAGCGGATTCATCCCCTATAGGACTCTCAATTCTTTACTAATGATAGCGATCTGACTTCTTCCTTCAGCATTTCACTGCAACATGTCCGATTTCGAAAAAAAAAAGATTAGGAAAATAGCATGGCTATACAAAAAATGGAAAAGGGAAACTCTCGTTTTGATAAACAGAAGGTATAGCGAAAAACACTGTTTTAAATTGATTAGAGCAAGTCCCCCTACTCACCTTGTTCAAGGTTGATTGGCTGGGAAGAGTCATAGGTTTTCTCTCTTTTCTCTTTACCTTGGTGTGTGACTAGGAACTAGGAACAGCTATTGCTATGAATCCCCAACTGTTAGCTCAATTTTTAGCGCAAAGGGAGTGAAAACAGTGACTTTCGGACTTAGATGTTGAAGGTGCCAGATCATTGACACAGTTAGTAAAGCTCTTGCCATAGCTCAGAATCTGAGTCTTAGTAGTAGTAGCGATAAGTCCAGTTCACGACTCCAATATTTTCAGGTGCATATGAACAAGTAGTGTGATCTTTTTCAATGAAGAATATCAGACGAGACATGATAAATTCTTTTCATCATAATGACTTGGCACATATCTGCTTCAGACTCGAAAAAAGAAGCTCTTTCCACCCGTGGACTCTCTTCTGAACTTTCTCCTTTCCTTAAGATTCTGAAAAACATTCTTCAAAGATCTACTCATCATGGTAGGCAAAGCCAAATTGGGTAAGAATATTTATCTGAAAAAACTCTTTTGCAAGCTATTCTGCCTCAAGTGAGCAGTTTAAGCCTAAGTAAGAAAATAATAGACTTGTCTAGATTTCTTTTATGGCTCGAGCCTCCCTCATATACTTACAATATCTTCCTAATCTCTATACATTCAGCTGCATTAACTAAAGAAAAAATAAGGCTATTGTCAAATAGAAATGAGAAAGATTGAGACGCTACCTGCTAGCCCTCACACCATGGAGACACTGCCTAGCTTCAAAAAGGATTGATTATTCACTTCCTAGCAAAGACAAAAGTCCTAGTTTTGGTTTTAAATCAAAAGGGAAATGGCTCCATAGCACGAGAAAGTTAGCCATGAATGACTTTCAGTTTGGGGGTGTATACATTCCATCTTTGTTGAGTAGTGCGCTCTTGCTTCCTTCCCCATTCATTTAGGACGTAGCAAGTGATCGACTAGTCTTTAAATCTATTCAGCTAGGAATGGATATAGTAAACAATAACTTTCACGGCATGGAAAATTCACAAGTCATTATATATATATATATATATATATATATAAATTGAAGCAAATCAATTTCAAGAAGATTAAATTTTAAAATATGAGTCAAGTTTCACATACCAAATAAAATTACTAGCCCTACACCTCTTACTCATCAAATTCTTGTTGCGTACAACCATCAACTGTGCACACCAAGAATTTGGAGATACATGCTAAGAATTTGATATGCACAGGGGTGTGAAATGAACTTGTACGTATCCTTTTACAGATCCTTTACACACCTACAAGTTCTACTTGTGTAAGACGCACCTAAAAACTTTTCCCAGCTAAGATCCATCTCAACACAATGGCTATTCTGAAATTGAGAGGTAAAAAGAGAGAAGAGAGTTTAAGGAAATAAATATTTATAAAGAATGTTAATAATAACGTATGGAAATGAATTATATCATCAAAATGATTGCAACAATCTTAACTACCAATAGATGAAATCAGTTAAATGCAATAAAAATAATCTGTAAATAAATTATGCTTACGAGTCAAATAACCGAAACCAAAGAGACTCGGACTCTTGTTGATCCAAACGATGAGTGTTTCTTTGGCATAAGCCAACCGAGGCACGTAAAACATCATGAACAGCCAGAGCCTGAAGAACATAAACCCACAAAACTGTTCTTACCACCCAGAGAGAAGCTAAACTGTTTTGAAATAGAGCGCAGGCAGTCATTTACAAACCTCTTTAAGTTTCAAGATATCAACAAGTTGCTCTGTCTGAGAGATATTTCTTGAATTTACGTCAGAAAATTTATTGATAACCGCAGAAACAAGCAATTCAATTTTTTCATCAAAGCCAGACATTATAAGTAGCAAAGCATTCCCAACATCACCAACTCTTTCGAGCAAAAAAGCAGCTGCATCTGTAACACCATACTCTTGACAGAGTTTCAAACAGTGCTCCAGTCTATAATTATCAAAAGTCTCCAAAAACTTTAGGACAGAACCACGTTCAAACTGGCACAAAAGCTGCACTAATGAAGAAGAGATGAATTTGATATGGCGCAACAAGTGGATTGGAGCATCATTATAGCAAAAAAAAATCTACTTTAATAAGAGAACAATCAGTTGCAACATCAGTTCTTCCAATAGCTGGAAAGAAACCTTTTTGACATTAATTTTGGTGTCCAGTTATAGTGAATCAGAATAACATCAACAATATAATACATTTGAATACAAGTGTAGAAAATAAACAAAAAAAAAAGGAAACTAGCAAAAAAACGTTATCAAAATATATATTTGCACAAAAAAGGGGTTATGGTCAACCTATAACATTACCAATCCAAGAAAGCAGTGTCACATAACTGTTTGGACGAATAAGCATATTTATGAAGCATGCCATTAATCTTTTTTATTTTTTTTTGAAGTATATGGCATTAATCTTTTGACTACATAATCAATGTTATATACTATTAAAAGTGCCCTGTTTAAGTTCTTTTAAACAGTAATTGATGTACATAACACCAAAATGATCTAGAAAAGGATGATGAAAATTATTGAACAAGAAAGGGTACATAACATGTTTTAACTTCATAGATTAAACAACTGCTATACAATAAAGATTTAAAAAAAAAAACATAAACATGTGTCCATTTTGAGAATCACCGACTCTTGAACAAAGCTCAACCATAATAAGACACAACAAAGACTAATATGATTCATAAACCACATGATTCCAATTGAAATATTGGCTTTGGCACCACTTGTTTCAAAGACAAGTACAAGAATAAAAAGTATTTGCTCACTCAAATTGGTTTCTCACTCTCTCTCTCTTCCCTTTTCCTTTCTCTCCTTTATCCTCTCTTATGTTCAAAGCAACTAATTCAAAACACACACATATACCCAGCCACTAAATGTAAAATTATAGTATCGGTAAAGTAGTAAAACAAGAAATTTAAACTTGAATAACATCTAAAGAAAAGCTTACAGTTTTATTGAGGCGTCAAACTATTTTAAAGACACTGGCCTTCTAAATTTGCACACCTAATTTTTATATCATAAAATTTACAAACCGGCTCCTTACATAGAGGAGCTTAGACACAGGTTTCAAATAAACATTATAAAGTTTGGGAACATACATGTTATCAACCGTTACTCCAAACTCATCGCACCATTGGGATAGTGTTCGTTAAAAAGTTTGGTCTGAGAATCATCATCCATGAATACTTGTGTTTTGGATTACAACAGCATCAAGCCTTTATCCCACTACATGGGGTCAGCTACATAAATCCTTTTTCTCTATTGTGTCCTATTAAAAGTCAAAATCTCATTTAAATCTAATAAAGAAATGTCATTTCTAATATTTTCTAACCAAGTCCTTCTAGGTCTACCGCTACCTTTCTTAAAATAGACCAAATCTAATACATCTACTCTCCTAATAGGGTCATCAGAAGGCCGACATTTTGCATGACCAAACCATCTAAGGTGGCTCTCTCTAATCTTATTTGTCACTGGAATTGCTCCAACCTTTTCCCAAATATGCCCCTTTCATATCCTGTCTCTAAGAGTAAGCCCACTCATCCACCTGAGCATCCTCATCTCAGCAACACTTAATATTATGCCTCACTTTTATTGGCCAACATTATGCGCCATAAAGCATTGCAAGTCTCACCACCATCTTATAAAATTTTCCCTTAATATTGAGTGGTACTTTTCTATCACACAACAAACCTGAAGCATTCCTCCACTTCAACCATCCAACTTGAATTCTACTAATAATATCCCCATCTATTTCACCATCACGCTGAACAATAGACCCAAGATATCTAAAACGATTACACTTATTAATAACTTGATCGCTCAAAGTCACAAACCCCTCACTAGATCTATTACTAAAATTACACTCCATGTATTCAGTTTTAGATCTCAAACAAAAATCTTTAGACTCTAAAGTTGACCTCCATAATTCAAGTTTACCTTCAACTCCCTCTCTAGTCTTATCAACAAGAAGAATATCATCAACAAAAAGCAAACACCAAGGTATATCCTCTTGCAAATGTCTAGTGAGAACATCCATGACTAAAACAAAAAGATAAGGGCTTAAGGCTGATCCTTGATGTAATCCAACTGAAATAGGAAATTACTTGGTCAAACCACCTTGTGTTTGAACACAAGTAATAGCTCCTGCAAACATATCTCTAATAACTTAAATATAAGCATTATTAACCCCGTATTTTTCTAGAACTCACCATAGCACTTCTCTTAGAACTTATCATATGCTTTCTCTAAATCAATAAATATCATATGTAGATCCTCCTTAGTCTCACTAAACTTCTCCATCAACCCTCTCAATAAATGAATAGCTTCCATATTAGACATACCCGACATGAATCCAAATTGATTTTAAGAAATATTAGTATCACGTCGTAACATACGCTCCATAACTCTCTACCAAAGTTTTAAAGTATGACACATCAATTTAATTCCTCTATAATTCGCATAATCTTGTGCATCACCATTATTCTTAAAAATAGGAATCAACACACTCATTACCCACTCATCTGGTATCTTTTTAGTGTTTAAAATAATATTAAAAAGTTTGTTAAGCTAAGAAACTCCTTAATCTCCTAAGCATTTCCACATCTCTATGGGAATATCATCAGGTCCACTAGTTTTTCCACACTTCATTTTCTTTAAAACCTCTCTAACTTCAGTTTTATTAATACGCTGATAAAAATAAAATTATTTTCATTTAGAGTGCTAAGGTCACTAAAGTCAATCGTACTCTCATAATCTTCATTGAAAAGCTTAACAAAATATCTCATCCACCTTTGTTAAATATCCTCTTCTAAAAAAATCATTTATTTATCTTCATCCTTAATGCACTTCACTTAAACTAAATCCTTACTAAGCCAATCTATTTGTTCGGCTAACTTATACATATATTTTTCGCCCTCTTTAGAATCTAATCTATTATATAAATTATTAAAATATAAAATATTTGCATTGTAGATTACTTTCTTAGACACTTTACGAGCCTCTTTATATCATTCCCAATTTTTAGAGTTTTTACATATGAACCAATTATTCTAACTAAAACTTTTTATTTTTGATATTTTCTTGCACATTTTGATTCCACCACCAACTATTTTTATTATTATGAGCTTTTCCTTTTGAAACTCCAAGCACATCCTTTGCAAAATTCTTAATATTACTAGCTACTTTATCCCATATAACATTCGCTTCCTCATGCACAAACAAAATATTAAGATCTTGAATCTTACTCTCAGAATTATTTTTGTTAGTATTTTTTAAAAGCCCTCATCTAATCTTAGAACGATGATTTACTAAATTTTTCATATTCTACCCATTCATCTTAAAATTCAAAACTAATTAGCGATGTTGGGTACATAAACTTTCACTCGGAAAAACTTTACAATCATTGCAACCTAAAAGATATTGGGCGGCGAACAGGTTTCAGGGTCGGGCATTAAACGAACGACAAGAGCGGGTGAATAGCAGAAATAGGTGCGGGAGGTAGAGTTGCCTGAATATGCCGAGATTTTGTTTGCCTGGACGGAATCACGTGAAGCGGAGTCAGGTTGGAGGTTGGTGCACCAATGGATGGTGGATGGATTTGCCGGTGGTTGTCGCCTGGTGGAGGTAAAGTCACCGGCATGGTTGCCGGCTGGTGGAAGTCAAATCGCCGGTATGGTTGCCATCTGGTAGAGGCTTCGAACATCGTCGACAACCTATCTTCATCCATGGTCTTCCCAAAGCTTCCAAACCCTGATTAACAATTGGCATCAAGGGTTGAGGTAGCATCCTTCATCCTGGTTAGAAGCTCACGACTCTGATCAACGTCAAGGGACAAAGTCGACTCTGATACCAACTAATGTGGGAAAATCAATGAATAATCATCACAAAGCACAACTCCTAAGAGCAAGAACACCAAAACAGTGAAAACACTGCTAAATCCCAAAAACATTAATTCATTTTTCTCCTTTCTTACAATCATTAGTATTTATAAAAGCAATATAACCTTTTAGCGAAGTCTAGAAAATAGTTATTAAATTATAAACTATTCCTAAGACTTATTTTTAAAATGCTCTGCATCACAGTCATTAATCCCCATTTCTAAATCACTTCTTAACTATTTACCTCGCAGGATCTTCCTCTAGATTGAATTCTTCCTTAAATCAAGATATCTAAGTCCACCATAATTTTAACTTCCACTTCCATGCTTGTCATCATTGCATATTAGTTTCTCATCGGGCAAAGATGTCCTCAGTATTTACATCTATATGGCGGAAAAGATTTCAAGTCAAGCCACAATGAAAATCAAGTATCTAACATGTAAATGTGGTTCTCTAAAACATGCATCTTTCAAGAAATTCAATAATCAGTCATTCAGTCTTTATATTTATTTCAACAAACAGATACAACGAATCCTCACTATTTAGGAGCAGTTTGCTCGGCAACAATAGTAGAGTATTGCATTTTAATATTTTTTTATATTTAGCATGAAGCAAAAGAAAAGAGAATTAAAAGTTTGAGGGATTTGAAATATCCAAATTGGGCAATTTCAAGATCGCACTTTGTACACGCTTGCAATTACCATCCTCAATTGCCTGTTCACCGTGTGATCTCCCATCCATCACCCCCACCCGCCCTTGCCAGCCCATTTTCATATTTCAATGCATTGAATACAATTGAAATGTATTATAATAATAAAAAATTTAATCCAATCAAATAACTTTTACATCTCAAAAATAATTGCATTTTAGATACTCTTATATATGTAAGCATCCAATCATATAGCTCCTTAATGAATTTCAAAAATTCCGTGTAAATACAACTCGACCAAGTCATCTGCTACTTGTATTGTGTCATGAATTTATTAGCCAATCTTTATATGTATTTCAGCTAGCACCGAAAAAGAATGCTCAAAATTTCATGGAATTATGGATTTCAAAACTGACCTCTAAATACTGCTCTGCCATCTCATCAGTTACTTGAATTGCATCGTGATGCAAAAGCTTTGGAAAATTTGAGAGTTTCTCCACGTAATCTGCAATTTCAATAGATGAATCCCTCGTTCTAACATTAGGATTATTTGATATAATAGTTTCAGGCACAGGAAAGTTGAGAGTGCCAGATATGTGAAAATCAATTACAGTCTTCAAGAAAAGGAAAAGGCTAAGTGGATGAGAATGAAGCTGTGAAAGAATATGCTGCTTCTCACTATCAAGTTGGTCAATAACCAAGAAAAATGTGCATTCCCTGCATCAAGGAAAGCAAAAAAGATATGAACAGGAAGTAAACTGATCGTAATTAATAAAAAATAGAAAATATACTTTGCACCACTGGTGTTCAATAGAAAATGCTGGAGCACACTCTGCAATGAGACGCATATGAACACAAACAAAGGCCAGCCTTCTTTACCTGCTAAGTTTAACCAGCTCAGGAATCCGTGAAATAACTGCTGATTGAAATAATAAAGCCTCCGCATTGTCTAGTTGCAAAAACAACTTGTTTATAAAAGAAAATGCATGAATAGGCTCATCCAAATCCTGCATATAGCTATCTAAGGCAGCAACATACTCGCCTCTGATGTAATGAATCAAGCCACATGCCTGAAAATTAATTCAAGAAGGAAACTAGGCCCAAATCTACCAGTAAAGCCTAACATAATTATATTACTCAAAAAAGCAACAGTATTCTGAATAATAATGAAATTTCTTAAACATACCTGAAAGAATTTAGCCTCCACGCAGAGAGGCAAAACAAAAGAAGAATTCCAAATTTCCTGAGGCACTGCCTTCAAAACAGAAAGCGCTTGCCTCTCCTTTAGAAGAGCATTATTTTTTTCACTGTAATCAAGTAGTGTTAAACTTGATGATGTCAAATATTCAAGAATATGCATCAAAACTCTTGTAGAAATTTTGGCATTTTTAGTTGCAACAAGATACCCTATGAATTCTAGTATAAAATGAATATCTTTTTTCAAAGGCCAAGCATCTGAATTGTCATCCATCTCAAAGAACGAGACCAAGTCAGATTCCAAGTCAAGAATAGATATTAGTGCATTTGCAATACTTTGCACCACTGCATCTTGGGTTTTTGAATACTTGAGTTCATGCTGATTTTCTAGATTTTCATGAGAAGCTGCTAGGTCAAGCACTGATGGATCATTAATAGTCTCTGGTTCGTTGAAAGCACACTTAAGAACATCCAAAGCTGCTTCAGTATCCAAGGAAAGGATACATAAGAGGTTTGATAAATTTCCACAAGATGATTTGAGCTTTTTTGACACTTGTGAGGTTGAAATTTTAGAATCTTCAAGTAAGAACTCCAGCAATTCTTTTCTAACTGAAGGTAATCTAGAGGGAGGAAGATAACCATGTCCTGCAATCAAAATTATAAGTTTAGGACTACTAAAGCTCCACCATTTACAACAAAGCAAAATTTTTGTGGCATGTAACAGCCATTGAGCTAAAGGAAGTATATCAACAAAGAAAAAAGTTCACTTCTTTCTTTCTGGCAAACAAGAATCTGCAAGTCATCAATCAGAAGTGTGGAAAGGCTTACAAAAAAGATTAATGCTGGGTCAAAGTAATATGGAATACTGCTCTTTAAATGATCTGATACTACTTGAGGTGAGGTTTGCATATGGAATACTGCTCTTTAAAGGCTTACTGTTTTCAATCAAGAGATGAGGCACATATGCGGGACCAATTCATACAAGAGAAAGGCGTTATTGGAACTTCAAACTAGCAAGTTTTCTTGATTGAAAAAGAGTACAAAATCCAAACATGAAATAAGCTTATGCCCAACCCTTCTATTGGAGTGGAGGGGGGTAGCGGCTAGAAGTAGATTACCAATAGATGAAGAGACTCCTTTTGTTAAAGATGCATGAATACATTATTGAAAAGCTAAAGAGGTATCACATTGAAAGATATATCTATGTAACTCTTCGTGAATGTGAAATTTAGGAATGCAAGAGATCATTATGAAATACAAAAAACAAGATCAACTTGTTATAAATCTCCAGATCATTAAAGAATTTCAATGCAAAAATATCTTTTCTCGGAAACAATTTTTGCGAGCACAGAAAAATATTCATGTTCTTAAATTGGCGTGATGGAACTCATCTAAAATCATGAGGAGATATGTATTCCAAGGTCGGCTAAAGACATCAAAGGCTGCATTGAGGATTTTCAAAGCTTATACTGGAACAAAAATTTTCGAGGTCCACTTAAAACATCCAAAGGTGCATAGTCAGATGTTGCATCTTACCATGCCATAAGAATTACTCATTACAAAACAAGGTACAACAAAATTATTTTTCATGATCAAAATATTGATGATGACGACCAAAATAGTTTGCCTATTCGTAGGACACACCTTTCTTTTTAGTTGTTTGTGTCTCTACTAGACGAAGGCACTAAGAACAATTAACCATCAAATAATAGCTCTAATGAGGAAAAATTCTTAAAAAATTAGAAAACCTAGGTCTATTGGCCATGTGTTTGTGAATGATGAAACTATTAAGCTATAAATCCGAATAAGAAAACCACTATGGATGCTTTACAACCCAAAAACCTTAATTTCCTCTTCATATATCCATTAAAATCCAGTGATTTCTCATGGATGATTTTCATTTAAAAATCCAAAAAAGAAGATGATCAAGCGTCAGTTTATTGGATCCATGTCCAATAGCTACCCATACATGAAATTGCATTCACATTGGATCCCTCCTTCCTCTTATATTAAATCATAGGTTGCATATGACCATTGAATCTCTATCAAATGGTTACATGCTTATTTCAATTCATACAAGTTGTACTATATTCCTATCAAATCATAGGTCATGACAAAATTAGCTTAACGATATGGGTGCTTGCATTTGCTAGGGTTTGTAATTTTTCCTACATTCTAGTGAAATTAAAAAAAATTGAATTTAATTAATTTGAGAAATCATGGAATAATTATGAATCTTTCATAGACCTTCAATTCAAAGGTCGATGTTTCACACCTCATAATGGATGAAATTAATTAAATTCATCATGACTCTTTAAAAACATAGAACAATATAAATGAAGTGATTAACTGCTCTTAACTTAGAGAACTCATAACTGAACATGAAATATTCCTAAAAATGTAAACTACCTTCCTTGCTTTCGAAGTAAGAGATTACACCAAAATTAATCTTACGAACCTCCTAAACCCATAAAAGAAACTTTTCCAAAAAGCTAAAGAATGAATCCAAAAAATTCCCAAAAATGAACTTTCTTATTAATTCTCTCTCTCCATAAGCAATGTTCTTAAGCTTTTAAAAAGTTCAAGCATTTTTCTATATGGACCTTAGAATCTCCTCTGGGACCAATTCATATTTAGATAATCATAGTCTCTTTGATTCGAGTAGAATCAAATTCAACTTGAATCATCTACCATTTAAATTCTTTTTGTTTGGTACTTTTTTAAACTCATTTGAAGCTTTTCAAATAATTTCTAAAGCATTCAAGAAAGAACCAACAATTCTCATGACCAAATCCCATATTCATTTAAATATTTGTTCTAATCAAAATTATTCAATATCTAAAACCCTTATACATGACATAAGTCCTAGCTTTGCTTGTGTTGTTCACTCAATCAAATCAAATAATACATCATTCTTGCAATCCATTTGGAAACCTCTCACTCCTTTGAGCAAATCTTAGGATGATCTGGGATTTATTAGAGTCAAATCCAACTTGACCCTTCTCTAAATGAATTTTTCTTGTTTTTTGTTTGCTCTAACTTTATATGGAATCCTCCTATAGTTTTCGAATGAATCCAAAAAAATATTAACACTCCTTAGGTCCAAAACCTAAGCTTCTAGGACAAGACTTTGGCTTGCCCAAAAGAAAACAAGCGGTCATCTTATTCAAACCCAAAGTTGACTTCCTCAAACGAATTCTTCTTGTGTAGTGTTCTTTATAACTTTATTTAACAATCCCCAATATATTTTAATGACTTTCAAAGGACTTCAGCATATGTCGAGTATCCTTCCAAGAGCCAAACAACATTAGACATGCCTTAGATTCGCTTTGGTTGGATTGAACCAAATTTAATACAAACCTTCTCATTCAAGATCTTTGTTGTAACACTCTAAATCCCATACGGAGGCTCCCAAATAAATCTAAGAGATTATGAATTAGGGTTAACTTATTCTAGAGAAAAAAATCTAGAATTCATTTTCATTTATTTGACCTTGAAGTCGAAAAACGAAACTAATCATTTACAAAGGATTCTAAGTCTAGTATCTTTTATTTCTTTGACTTAATCAAGCAAATGAATTTCACCTTTAAACTTCCAAGTTTTAAAAGTACTCTCATTCGTTTCAATTCTCAAACTAGAACCCAGAATGTTAAATTTTTTCATATTTATTTGAACACAATTTAAACAAATAGTTTAAAACTATTTTGTAACATACAACCACATGACATCTCTATCCCTAAGTTCTAATGCTACAAATTTATACCACCACCTTCATTTGTTTAGCTCAATCAAGCAAATAACCTTTTAGCTCTTGGCCCATAAGCATTAGCTTCTCTTATTTGATTCAAATCAAATAGGAGGTCTCTTTTCTTTGACCTCAAAGTCATCGGGTCACTTGCTTGATCTAATCAAGAGCATGCTTCCTTCCTTCTTGGCCTCAAAGCCAATGATCACTTGTTTGACTCGATCAAGTATTTGATTTCTTTATCTTAACTCTAAACTTTAAATTTTCATCACTTAATACTGACCCCACATAGTGGGATAAAGGCTTGTTGTTGTTGTTGTTGTTGAATTAAAAAGGGTGATTTTATCCTTTCTTTTAAATTTTAAATTTTAAATTTCAATTTTAAAGTCTTTATTAAGGGTCTTGATTCTAAAATTTATCTAGCTCAATTAGATGAATTTTATTAAATCCTAAGTAAAACCCTTAAGCAAATTAACTCAACCCAAATTAAGAAAAATTATCTTCCTCTTAATTAAATATTGAGAGAATCACTAAAATATATAAAAAATACTTAAGTTTCTCTTGATTCAATGATCCATCATTAAACCTCAAAAAGGAAGAACATTCATCACACTAGATCTCAAAACACTATAAATGGCATGTTTGCCTCAAAGCAAGCAGTGTTCATTCTATTGATTCTTTATAATCCTTTAAAAAAATGAAATATCTTTTGAATTTTAAATAAAAACTTTAATCCCAAATAACTTAAAGTATAATAAACCTTGAATTAAAACTAAATCTCTTTCTATTTCACAATCAGACAACACATCAAATAATAGTGCAAGGGCTAGTACACACTAGATGCATATCCCCTTAGGTATCTTAGGAGTAGGATCTGTTACTAAGCATATGATTATAATGTTTAGTTTGAGATTATGATTATTTGATAAACTATTTGTGTTATGGGACTTGCACTTAAGTTTTCAAGTAAAGATATATGTTTTTCCATAAAGGCAGCCATGCCAAAAAAGGGGTGAAAAAGTTGAAAATTAGTCATTTAACAACATTTGCTTGCAAGCACTGCTCATATGCTAAAGTAGGCCAGGCGAATAGGTTTTAAAAAATTAGGTCGATAACCATCAATGCAATGCAATTTTTTGAAATTGTGATGTATGAGGCATGTTAAATGTTTCTTAATTTGTATTGTGCAAGGAAGAGTATTTTCTTCACTTTACAAATGTAATTCATTTGTAGTATTAGGAAGTTAAATAGGACTTTGGAATATAGCAAAGTAACAATGAACTAGAAAGATAAATTCTAAAGTGAAGCTTTAGATACATCAGAAGCCAGAATTTGAAAACCACCAAGCTATATAATTGGTTGTATGAGACAAGCAACTCAACTATTATTTTATTTTTGTTAGTTGCATAAAAGACCTCTACTTTATTTTATGATAAATTTTTGAGAAAATGATCCAAAATGGTCCTTCAACTCTTTATGAGGGGCCAAAATGGTCCCTCAACTCTTTATGAGGGGCCAAAATGATCCCCAACTCTTTTGAGTGACCAATTTGATCCCTCAACTCTATAAAAAGGGGCATTTTTTGTCATAACATAAAATTTTGGGATTAATGGTGTTAAATCAAGGGGTATTTTGATTATTTTTAATTAAATTATTTATTAAATATAATTTTTAATTAATAGTTTTTTTAAAAAAAATTATTAAATATTTTTTAATTAAAAATATTAATAATTCTAATCTATAATGTTCCTAAATTAAAATTTAAAGTAGTAATAATTTTTAAATTAAAATTAGAATTATTAATAATTTTTTATTAAATAAATGTTTAATATTTTTTTTTCAAAAAGTAATATTATTTGAAAATTATATTTAATAAAAATTTAATTTAAAAACGTTAAAATACCCCTTAATTTAACATCATTAACCCCAAAATTTGATGTTATGACCAAAAAAGCCCTTTTTAAAAGAGTTGGGAGACCAAATTAGTCCTTCAAAAGAGTTGGGGACAATTTGATCCCTCACCAAAAGTTTCGGCCCCATTTAGGTCTTTTTCTATATTTTTTTTTTGTAATTGATTGTATAATTGCTTTAAATGCGCATTAGAAATGTATGTTTTCTAAAGTTTCTTTTTATACTTTGCTTATAGGTGGCCAAAACATTTTTGCGATAAATTCTTAGGAAATTAATTTTTACCCATTAAAATATGATTAATCTTAAAAGAAATCAAAAAATAATATTTTTAAATAAACTTATATAGCTTATCCAAAAATAAGCTGACTTTTTTAAAACCAAAACGAAATGCAAAAGCTTCCTTATGGATCTTAGTATGCAATTCAATATCTAACTGATTGCTTGCAAATAAGAATGTGTTATTTCAAAATTAGCAGCAAACACATGTATTTGCTAATAAACATTATATGCATAGCCTTGTGAGTGTGCATACATATGAATAAAAGCCCTCACATTAAGGATGTATAATAAAAAAAAATGCATTAAAGTCAGAAGATGCATATCCTTATGGTCAAACATCTTAGCCTAAGTGATTAAGTTTTAAGTACTCTACTCTTTCCTAAAATCAAAACAACCTAACCTATATTGTATGTGCACTGAGATTAGGATTATATGGCTTTAAAAGCACTTAAAATAGATTTGGATGGTCTTCATTTTGAAGCATGAATGTAAGATCACAAGTCTGAGTTCATAAGCTTTATACATCTTGATAAATTTTGATTCGAATTATTACCTATCATGGTTCTCACCTTATATATAGGGTCTGAGGATGATTTTTTTCTCAGTTACTTCATAAAGTATCATTTTCCTAAGTATTTTCTCAATCTTGTGTTATTGTAAAATTAGCCACAATCTCCTAGATCAAATTGATCAACTTTAACATAAATTCAATCTCAAAATGTAAAATACAACATAATATAATATTGAGTACATTTGAGTTTCTCATAATCAAATACTCTTGCTCTTAATCTTTCTTCCTCTGACTTCTACTCAAAATTAATTCTAAATTGATCCATTTATTCTTGAAATTCTAAAGACTAAATCTTTGAAATAAATTTCTTGAAATTATTTAAAAATGTTAGTCAATATATTGATAAAAATATATATAAATGACTATTTTAATAAAAAATTTCCTCAAGGACAAAAAAATTTATAATTAACCATAAAGGCTTTGCCCTTATAGGGAAAGGGCAACCCAGAATAAAAATAAACCCTATTAAATTAACATATTGTCCTTTATCATAAGATTTTAATTTTTGTGCCATACTTGATCTCAATGTTCCAAAACCTTTTAAGGATATAAAAATTTCCCATCACTTATAAATGACAAATAAAATTACAAATAACTTGGCAACAATGTAACAATCAAGGGCAGAAGTTCATGACAGTAATAGGTATACATAAGTACGATCATAATGCCACGTCATTCAACATAAAGCATTTAACCAGCTAGCATGATCCATAAGTCAAGATTTTTCTTGAGTAATACATGAATAGATACCTGGAGGAAATGCAAGGCCTTGAAAGCAATACTTCAGATAAACAAGCATTCTGTACCTGTTTAAATATTTTCAAAAGTCAATTTAAGAAAGCAACATGAAAATTTTAAAAACAAAATTATTATGAACTGCTGCTGAAAATGAATGGAGCACAGAAACCATGTATGCTTCATTAATTTTTTCAAGGCTACGGTGTGCCAAGTAGACACAGCTCCCGTCATTAACGATGTAAATATTAAAAGTTGGTTTAAAACTGCCAATAGCAGAGAGGTTTTATGCAGTAAAACCCACAGATCAGACTCACATTATGGTGACCAAATTGTTAGTCCACGGTCTGCCATTAAAAACATTTGTCATACATATATAAAAGGAAAATTCCAGAAGACGCAGAAAGAAAAAAATAACATTCTCAAGACAATAGTGTACGCCAAACTGACAAGTCAAGCAACGCATGCATGATGTTTGTATCCATAGTTCATCAACCCAAGTATTGTTGGTTTGATATTCATCTGAAGAACTGATAGAGGTCCAACAGCCAAGACGGATAAGATCCTGCAATTAACTTTAGCCTCCATTTAACTAATTCCCATGATCACACAATAAGACGGGAAAAAAGTTTTAATCAATATTTAGCATGTTTTAATATTTGAAATAAAACCAAAGCATCGTCGAATCAAAGAAGGTTAAGTAGAGGTTAAAAAAATTCGTGTATGCAAATGTAGAAAAACAGCCCAAGCTCTAATAAAAATTGTCAATATCCTCCACATATCTTAAAAATTCTCCATTGAAAAAAAAGGGCAAAAAGCTCCAGACAATGCATCATAAAGAACAAGCACAATAAACATGAACGCTATACTATGGAAATGTAACAGCACTTTTCACAAGAAATGAAAAAGAGACATAATGGAATACCCGATAGAAGCATCATCCAAATTCGAATTATTCTGCACAACCAACAAGAGCTCCTCAAGAGGTGCCTTAAAATCATCTAGGCCTCTATTGAAAAGATAAATCAGTGCACCATACAATCCATGTTCCCGGCATAACCTCACAACCTGAACAAAGAATATAAATCTGTAAGTAATGTATTTGATCCAAAAAGGAAAATAGAAACAGTGGCAGGCTAAATGAATGATAAGCTCACAAGCTCATCTCAACATCACCTGATTAAAATCCAAGGAAGAAATGTCCATGTGAAGAACACACTGTTCAACTCGCTCTAACCACCCTTTGCTACTATAATGCTCTACCAACGCTTGCATGATCTACAAAACAGAAAAATAAATTAAGGAATCCAACTTGAAAAAAAAATTTGTTAAATATTCACAATTATAACCAAATATTTGCAGAAGGTACCTCAGGAGGCAAACATCCTAGCATATCCCTTAATATATATGGCTCTAAAATCTCTAAAAAAGTGCCTGCACACAAAATATTAATGCCTACTAAGCAACTTATAAAGTTAATTTAATACCCAAAAAATGCAAATACATAACTACACGGTGCCAAGTAGGTCAAAGGCTAAGATTTAAGATATTTGATAATAGTTAAACAACAGAACAGAAAAAAGCAATACTAAAGCACTGAATAACATGTAGGCCCAACGTGCTTCTGAAATATTTTTTTCTGATTGCAACATCAGTTCACGGACATGTTATTATGCATTTTTTAATCAAAATTCTACTGCATGGCTCCTTCACAAAAATGTTATGATGCACCTTTTCATGAAAATGCAGCTGTAGGCCATTCAATTCTAAAAGGTGGAATGAACTCCCTGATAAATGTGGAATGGAAACATAGAATGAAAAAGGAGCCAAATGAGGCGGTGCTCCGGCCTTCGGACAGCCCCAGCATGGAATCTTAATCATGGAAACTAAATGGATCAAAGGGCAAAGAAAGACAATAAAATAAGGAGATGCGCAATGATGCTGCTGCCAAAGTACTAAATGCACCTTACGGTAGCAAACCCTCCACTTAACTACAAAAAGACTTCCATTGAATAACTACTTCATCCCCTCTACTCTAATTCAAACAGTTGGAGCAAGCACTATGTAGATTGGTAGGACTGCAGTGCAGAGGCTAGGAAACGCATTAGACCAAAGCAATGTGCATGATGCACTTATCTGTGAAGTTAGCAAAGGTATAACTGAAATACTGGAAATTTTTTCCAAGTTGGAGAAAGGAGAAGACTACCAGAGTGGAGGCTATAACAAAAATGATGTTGGCAGAGTATTCCTATGCGTTCCTGTGTTTTTCTTTAAGACCAATCTTTTACGAAAGCATATGTAGACTTTGGCCATACAACATTTTAAATATAATAAAAGATCTCATTAAAGACTGATAGATGTGCATGGAATTGGTGGTACACTTGAACGTTGCGAAACACAGAAAAAGGCTATGCCACATGACAGGAGATAAGAAAGAGGAAAGGAAAAATGTTGGCAGCAGATATGTGGAAGGAAGGAGATGGAGCCTATCTCCAGGCTCTGCCTCTCCAGTGTATGTTAAGTTAAAGCTTAATAAAAGAAACAAGTTTATTTAATTTCATTTGTATGTGTGGTACATGTAACATAAGTAATCATACATTTCATAACAATTTGTTTATGTTAGATAATTTTTTGGCTCAATCGAAAAAATGTTTGTAGTTGCATCATTTTATTTCGTAACAATTCTAAGCAAAAAGAACAGTTAATCAAGACTTCCTGTTAACTGTTCTATATATTACTATGCAGAAGATTACATTGTATCACGGAGACATTAGAGGATTTTTATACCTTCATGTTGAACAGCAACAAATTTTGAGAATATTCCATCAAACAAAAGGTTAGTCCTTTTTATGTGAACACAAAACTCTACTGCGACCCCGCCAACACGAGCATACTGCTCCGCTATCTCCGAGCGCACAGAACTGTCAGTAATGCTAGGGTCTTCTTTTAAGCTAACTTTATCTATTTGGTTGTAAAAGGCTATGGAAATATAAGAGAACACTTCATCAACATACAACAAGATCAATTCAACTAGGTAAGGCATTATGGCCTCCCGGATAGCATTGACTGTTCTAGGGAGATCTATTACTCCGAGTGCATGGCCATCATAAAGTCTCATTGCCATGTCTAATGCACCCATCCAGTCACCAGCCTTTTGAAGAACCTGAATTCGTTCCTTCCATGGGAGAAGACGAGAAATTATAAGATGCATGGGTCCAAGTATGTAGATTGTAGCCCCTCTTACTGCTACTGAATTATGGTAAGCTTTCTCTGGATTTCCAAAGGTATTCATATAGTGGGTATGATACATAATGAAATCATCCATGCTAGAGCAATCTACGGTAAGATTTGTACGATGAATCTCTGCTCCATCCCTTGAAAACAAGCAGAGTTGTCCTCTGATAGTAAGAACCACTAACATCTGTAATAAGAAACAACAATCACTCAACAAAGAAAGAATGAAGGAAGATAGCTTATGACCTTAGTTAATTACCTGATCATCCAACCATGCAACACCTATTGTTGTGCTATCCAGGATCCACTCTTTGTGCTTTCTCATCTTTGATTTAGCCAACCTGGCTATCTGGATTTTCTTATCCCAAGCTATTGCAAGCCATGCAACTTTATCTGATGCATCTAAGATCATATTAAATGCAATTAAGTAATATTTTCAACGAACAGACCACAAAAAAAATGTAACAAGTTGGATGGAATTCTTACCTATAGAAGCATCGTGAGAATGGCCTATACATTTCCATGCTGCATAAGGCATGGAACCTTCTAGCACTCCATCTGGTTTGGAAAGGTTTTCATAAACTTCCACAGAAGGACTAAGCCTTACCTTAAAGAAGCACGCAACATAGATTAAAAAAAAAAAGAAAATTTAAAACATTCTTAGATCAAGCATTCAATTACACTAAATAAATGCTTTCTACTTGTTCACGAGCATCAGATGGCAATTTACCACTAGAGCATTTTGGTTAGTAGCAAAAACGACCACACCTTCTTCAACTATGGAGGGGTTCCCATTGAATAGCTTCCATCCAGTGTCACCTCCAACTACACCGCCAACCTTACCACCTAGACCACCGGAAGGGACCGAGGGATAGCCTTGAGCAGATGTGCTAGCAACATCTTGAGAATTATCCATCACAATAGGGCATGCACACAAAACAGTACCATTTTTTTGACCATCTAGAAGGCACTGTTGAAGAAACAAACTAGATATTTATAGTATCCAGAAGCTGACAAAGACGCAGAAATTTGGGGTAGCTGCATTAAGAAATAAAAAATAAAGCAGTATTATGTTCGTTAAACCTGAGTCTTAATGGAGAAATGGTGAAGAATGAGCAAAGAAGAAGTGTGGAGCAGAACAAGACCCTTGGAATCGCCTGTAACAGCTTTGAATTGGCGTGAAACTTGTGAATCTTGCTCCAAAAACAAAGTATGTGTTACCGGTGCATTATGCTCCCCGGTGATAACTTTTGCTGAAGTCCCTCTCTGTACATCCCATATAGTTAGATGACCATCACTGTACCCAACTAGCAGTAGGTCACCCTGTTGATTGAAACACATGGAAGTCACGGCTACTGGAATTTTCTCACCAGATGAACCAAATGTCAGCATCTGAAACAAAGAATTTTGATTTTTTTTAATCCTGAGCAATTATTAGCAGTGGCTTGCAGAATCAAAATAAAAAAGACTGAATAAACCACTAAAATAAGATAAAGATTTGCAATTCGTAGGCAGGTTTGGAAACTCATCCGCCAATAGAAAATGTTAAATACACAGTTTTCCTTGCACCTATGGCAATATGAACATGATCATGACACAAATTAAACGCAGACATACAGCAGATCGTGAATAATCAATAGAAAAGAAGCATACGGGATGGAAGTATTAGACAATAAAAAATTTTATTAGCTTAAAAAATACATCACATGTATTGAAATGCATATCAGCATTGGAAAGAGAGAATTATTTATCACCAAATCATGCACAAAACGTGAGAAATTTATTGACGAGATTCAAAATAATTTAATGTAAAGGATAAGGCCCAATAACAAAAGGATAAAAGCAGCACAAAAAAAGCATGGAGCTAAACAGGTTATAATGCACATTGGTTCATCTAATCTTTGTTGTAAATGCACCACATTAAAAAAGGGGTACAAGGGTGCTTAAATTTTTATTTTTTATTTTTTTCTGATAGATCCAAAATAGGCATGGGAAGGAAAAGTGTCACCATGCTACCCCCATCAGCCAGTCTGAAACATTTGCCCAACAGGACAACACAGACGCCATAGTTGTTCGACATAACAGGACAAGGCTTCTGCTTTAGGATTCATGAAGGAAAATGAACAAGTATGGCTTATGGACTGTTTCCAGAAGTAAATGTGCCAGCAAAGAGTGTTCTTTTGACATCAAAAATCAAAGGGCAATTTAGTGCACTCCAATAATACGACAGGAGATTAAAAAAAATGATTTTACAACATCATATTTTATATGAAAAATAATGACCACTAGCATAATCATCTAAGTGGAATATTTGAGGAAGAAAAGGGCTTAGCCTTCCTTAAACAAGTACGCAGTAGCTCCGTTAAATAAGAGAGAAACAAATAATCAAACATATAAGCATCATCATTCTGATCATCATCATTTATTCCATGCCACTTATCAAATTCAGCTATCTGAAACCAACTTCAAAACAAATTTCTATCTTTTTTCATTTGTTCCTTGCAAAAGCTTCTATTCCAAATTTATAATTGTTGAAATTGTTGAAATACTGTGAGACTCCCGAGTCAACCAGTCTTGATAGAGATTAATAAGCATATAGATTATGGTTATAACCGTTAAATCAATTCTCTTATAACCTTTAAATTTTAATCCACGTGCCTCCACTTACTCTTCTAGCCGCAAGTCCCCTTGAGAATTTTTTTCCCTGTTTTTATGTCATTAGCATTGATTTATCTATATTTTAAGACTTTTGGAAAAGTCTATATATGCTTACGCACTAATCAATAAGAAATTCAAAGTTAATTTATCATATTTCTACTTTTACATAGAATCAGAGCGAGGTTAGAGTTTCATTCTTTCAACATTTATTCTCTTTTTTCTCTCCTTTCTTGCCAAGATTTTTCCTTCCTTTCATTATGTTTGATTTCTTTGTCTTACCTTCAAAGGAATCAACCATCATGAATGGTTAAAATCTAATCAAGAGAGAACTCCATAGGCTACAAGCCTCATATAGCTTGAATGGAAGAAACAACTTTAAGTGGTCCCAAATTGTGAAGATCTTTCTACAGGAAAATGGCAACATACATCACCTTGTGGATCCTCCTCAAGAATTGAAGGGCACAGAGTGTGTAATTAGTGATAAATCAAATTTTATGATCATGATATGGTTGTGGAGTATCATAATACTTGAAATCAATGAGTCGTTTATGCTCTTGTCACTGCAAAATAAGTTTAAGATTCCGCCAAATAAATATACTCAAGAGTGAAGGATGCAGCCCTCATATACGAGATTAAAACTAAGATCTCAATAACCAAGGAAGATAATCTTCTTGTTATTGAATATTTTAATGTTATAAAGGTTTCTTGGCTTGAACATGACTATTACCAAGATTTCAAAGATGACATGCTACGATAATACGGTAATTCTCAAGAAATTTGTAGAAAGAGAAAGGATGTTTGAGTTCATTGCAATAGTCAATAATGACTTCAAGAAGTTTGTGTCAAAATTTTAAGCAGAAAAAACATATTACCATTAAATGATGTTTCCATCAAACTCCAAGGTAAGAGATTTACTATAGACTTTTCACCTAAAGAAGGAGAAAAACTTTCTTTCAAAGGCAATTTATTGTGCAACTACTACAAAAAGAAATGACACATCAAAGAAAAAAGTTAAAAATTCCACGTGAAACCTCTAAGTTATGGTGGAAACAATGAAGGTTATTAAAAAGGGCAAACTTATCTTGGGGAATCAGAGACTCAAGTAAAAAGAAATTGAGAAATTAAGGAACTTCCTCGAATATCTATAAAAATCATCCAGATCATATTGCCTAAGTTAAAATAGTTTGACTTCTAACTATTATATTTTTAGCATCTTAAATAATTCCTCCCGCACATTCTAGATTTAGAAGTCCCTAACAACTTGATCAACTTTGTTTTATCTTGTTAAAACCTACAAATCCTACCCCAACAGTGGAAAAATAAAAATAGTCAATGGTTCCCTACAATTGTTGAAGGTCAAAGAAATATTTTAATTTCATCCATATTTACCCTCAGTGATGTACTACATAATCCTCATCTTGCAATAAATCTTCTATCAATCCGTAAAATCATTAAAGATCATAATTACATGGTAACCTTTTTTTTCCTAACCATTGTGTATTTCAGTACCTCAGTACAAGGAAGATGATTGGGCAACCTAGAAAAAATGATGAGCTATATCTTCTTTTAAGTCATAAATCACTTTTCATGTTCTTTCATTTACATAATTAATATAGAAGCCATATAGGAACATTTTAGTTTAGGACATCCCTCTTTCAAAACCCTACAACTTAATGTAGGTTTCCTTCTCTCTTAATGAATTAAAATATGAAAAAAAAAATTATTATGAAACTTATGAAATTGTTCACTCTAACATTTGGACTCTTCTAAAATCTCCAACATTTTTGAAGAAACAGTATTTGTCATCTTTATTGATGATTGCATTCATATTGCATGGATATATCTTATTCTCCTCCTTTTTATAGTCATGATACAAACATAAGTCAATATTAACATCAAAGTATTTTAGACTATTAATATTTATGATTATTTTAATCAGGCATTATTATATTTTTTCATAAAAAGACACCATCCACCAATCTTCCTATCCTAACACATCCTAATAAAATAAATTGGTAGAAAAATCATCATTTTCTGGAATATAGTAAGACTCTTCTTTTCCAGAAAACCGTGCTAAAAAAATACTGAGAAGTAGTCCTAACTTCCACATACCTAATCAATAAAATGCCTTCAATAGTGATTGACTTCAAAAGTCTTCAAAACTGTCTAGTTGTACTTCATTCCCACAAATAACTTCCTCTCAAAAAATTCACCAAAATTCCTTGGGTGCACTACTAATGTCCACATCCACAAATAGTACAACGGTAAACTTGATCATAGAGCCCCCAAATATGCCTGTATTGGGTACTCCTTCACTCAAAAAAGATATAATTGATATTGTCCTGCCACCAAAAAAAAAAACTTTAAAAAATGTCACCTTCAATGAGACAAAGTTTTTTCAATCAAACTCATCTTCAGGAGAAGACCTCTCAACTGGAAGATAAGTTTAATAAAACATTTATCTTTCACCTTGCATTCTATCAACACAAATTTTAATAAATCCAGATACTATATCCCTTCAAGTTTATATATGAAGGAATAAGCCCACGTTAAATCTCAAATAAGCTCAAGACTTGAAATCGTTAACGGGTAATAATGATCAACCCATCGCTATGCATTTTCCTCTATATCCATCTTCTAACACACATCTTTTTTAAAAAAATCATACCTATGAAGTCTTCCTCATAAACATAAGCTTCAATTTCATTACAATATCATTAATCCTAGCTAAGACACTTGAAAATAAGAATTTAAAGGATGTCGTGAGAGAAGAAATGAATGGAAAATAGTCATAGTTGGGCGATCATTGAATTACCAAAACGAAAGAAAAATATAGGATACAAATGAATTTTTTTTTTTTTTGTTAAATATAGAGCAAATGAAAGCTTGAATCGGTATAAAATGAGATTGGTAACCAAAAGACATAATCTAATGGAGTCGACTAACAAGAAACTTTTGCTCCTATTGCGAAAATGAATACAATATGAATCTTAATTTCTCTTATAGCCAATTAATTGTGAATGGTTCATACAATAATATGACATAAAGAATGTTTTCTTATATGGGAACATTAGAAAAAAGTTTACATGGACCCACCACTTATATTTGATAGTTATTTTTTCTTTGTTTGCAAATTAAAAAAAAAAGCTCTATATGAACTTAAATAATCTTTGAGAGCATAGTTTGACAAATTCATAAAAATCGAATGAAGCTAGATATAAACAATACCAATGGATTTATATATTCTTCATAAAATACTCCACTGATGGTAAAATCTCAATTTTTATTGTATACATTGATGATAAAATTTTATAGGAGATGGCAATGAAAAAAGGAGTCTCTCAGGAAAAAGCTTCCCGAATAATTTGATATCAAAGAGTTGGCAAGCTAAAAATACTTTTTGGGCATAGAAGTTGTTCAAAGTGAAAAAAAAATATTCCCCTCTTAACAAAAATGTCATAAATCTACCGAAAGAAACAAAAATGAATGATTGCAAATTTTATTAAAACTCAATTGATCTAGGTCAAAAATTGGAAGCAAACAAAGAATAAAAAGAAGTAGCATAGGGCAGTGTCAAAAATTAATTTAAAAACTGATCTATATCACACCCACCAGAAATTACATTTATAGTAAGTCTCATCAATCAATTCATGCACAGACCTAAAGACTCTCACCTTCAAACAACTTATAAAATACTTAAATATCGTAAATCAAGTCCAAGCAAAAGAATTTTATATAAAAATTAGTATATTTCACAAATTGAAAGATATTTGGATGCATACTATACAGGATCACTAGTAGATATATTATTCACAACTGGTATTGTACATTTTTTGGAAAAAAATAATCTCATAACACGGATAAACAAAAAACAACCTATTGTTTCAAGATCCAGTGCTAAATTTGAACTTAAGAGTTATTGCCCAAGAAGATGTGAGCTTTTTATGGATTAAAACTATCTTGGAAGATTTAAAATGCAACATACAAAGGTCAATGAAGATATATGGTGGCATTACATTTGCCATCAACATTACACATAATCCAGCACAACATGATCATACCAAGCATATGGATGTGGATGGGCATTTCATAAAAAAGAAATTAGAAAGTGAGTTGATTTGTACTCTATATATGTCAACAGAAAATCAACTTGCTTACATTCTCAACAACAGACTCTACAACCCCACATTCAAAACTATTATAAGCAAACTTGGAATCTTAAATTAATACTATTCAATTTGAGGGAGAGTGTTGAAAGACTGTGAAACCTATAAGTCAACCAATCTTAGCAGAGATTCTTGAGGACACAGATTAATGATTCTAACCATTGAACCGATCCTCTTATACCCTTTAGATTGCAATATGTGTGGCTCCTATTCATCTTCTGGCCGCTGGTCCTTCTTAGGGACTTTCGTCTTTTTTTTTGTAATTAGCTTTGATTTATTTTCATTATAAGGCTTTTGGAAAAGTATATACATACATCCACACTTTGTAGAAAATCAAGCAATAAAATTCCAAATATTTTTTTAATATTTATATTTTTCTATAATAACATATGGTTCTGAAGACTTAGAAAACTTGGGAATCCAATTGTAGTCCACGTTGACCAGGTTTACAACAAACAAATTGAAGTTGAACTCCAATCTCCTGAAGGTAAAATTACTAAGAAACTAGCACTTAAATTGCTAATAAAACATAAATTAAAAAAACATCAATTAAACAGCAAATTTTCACTTTACTAGTAAATTAAACTCATAAAACTAAAATAAGCACAGGTATTACCTCTCAAAAATGGATTATTAAGGCTCAACGCATTAGGTGATGGATTTAGTTAACCAAAATCTTTTAATAAGTTAATTCTTATTATATTATACCCTATAATGTTTTAGAAAAGGTAAACTGCAGGAATGGTTCTTCTTGTACTATTTGTTTTACAAACTCTGTGCTGGAATAAGATCACTTTGATGCCAAATTGATGATGTGACACTTGTTAATGACCTCCAGAGCCTTGATTTCTTACGTCTCACTCCTTCAATTTCCATTGTAGCATCTTTTCCTTGAATGCAATCCTTCATGTAATACAGGATTGAAAGGAGAGAGAGGTGGCAGGAGCCTCTATCAGAGGAAATTGAAGGTACTCCTAATTTTAAAAATTTTGTTGGTAAGTGGTCAAGAGAATATGTTGTGGGAGGGAAAAAAGAGAGGAGAGACATGCTTACATCTTTCATGATACATAGTATTCTAGGAGAGACATAATGTACTTCAGTTATCAAAAAATACAAGCATAATAGTTAACCTTGGTTGAATAAACAACCCCGAATCAACATTGGAATGCAACCAAACTTGAAAATTTATTATTATATCCAATATAGTATGGTCTAACAACTCGCATTTATACTCTTGCTCTTCTGGGAAATTGACAAAGAAAGTAAAAGTAAACCAATCAATGAAAAAGCACTCCGAGGAATAAAAGACTAGTGACCTCAAATTTCAATATCAACCAGTTACCTGTAGATATTGTAATAAAGTTATAAACTTGCATGACCATACGATCATTCTTCTCTTCTTTCTTTTTTCTTGGAAAAAAATGAGGTTCAGTGGGCCAGTTCACAATGGATGATGTATTATCGCAAATAAATAATAAGCTTCACGCCATTTTCAAGCAAGAATATTAAGACAAGAATCACAATATCCTTTAAAAACTCACCTTTCCATCCATGTTATCAGTGGAGTGAGGGGAATATTTGCAGGGAAAGACAAGAACAACCCCTTTTGATGTGCCCACTGCTATATAATTCATATGCACAGCTAAGACATGTGGTAAACCATAGTCATGCTTGAACGTTTGTGAAGAAACACAACGAGTAATCATGTTGTCCAGGTCCATTTGTAGATAACCAATAGCAGGTGGGCCTCTGCGAATGCCTTCAAGCCTCATTGGCTGAGCAGCTGCCCCCTCTTCCCAATGCAAACCGGATGAAGCCTTTCTCTTCTCGAGCTCTTCAGCCCGGTCTAATGGCTTCATAGGTGCACATGATTTCTTATCCGCATTCTTTGTGCCTTCCGTCTCATTCACCATCTGGCCAACCAGACTATCTATTTCATTTGAAGTCATGCTCTCTTCTCCAATGCTACTAATTTTTTCATCACTAATATTAAAATCATCAGATTCAGTTGCTAAAATTTCCATGACCGCCCCATTAACAAGAACTTCATATTCAGCATTGGCATCACCCTTCTTTACAGCTAGTAAATCACCATTCATCTCAAGGACATTCACATGAGTGTCAGTTGAAGTTGAAGCAGAGGAAGGCAGGTCCTCGAGACCTTCCTTAGATTCAAAATGCACAGAAGATTGTGGCTCACTAACAGAGCAGGACAAATCCTCTTTTAGATTCTCAGAGGTATCTCCATCAATAACAAAAAAAGATCGCTCTTTCTCGCAAGACACCACTTCTCCCTGGGGCAGTTCAGGCGTTGCAACATCAAAGCCTGATAAAGAAGAAGATCCAATAGGTAAGGAAGATTCTACTAATCTTTTGTCCTCATTACCTCCCAATCTCCCAGTTGATGAGGCAACCAACGAAAAACAAGGTTCTTCCAAAGCTTTCGAGACAAAGCTCGCCTCCACATCAAGACCTTCTGTCGTGTCTTCAAGCAGTGAAACCTTTTGGATGGATTCACCGCTTGCCCTTTTAGACTTGATCGCCGCTGCATGAGGAGTAGGAATGGACCGGGATGCAGCTGCAGCAGCCGCGAGTGCTGCGCCAGGCTTAGGCTTCGGCTTCACGCCACTGAATAGTGACGGAAAAGATCGGGAGGAAGAAGCTTTGGAAGCATTGGAGTAGCTCGCATCCCTCGGAGAAGAAAGGTATGAAGATGATGATAGTTCCCCAGTTCTTCTCCTCCAATTGTAGGGTTCTTCTAGGGTTTCCGCAACCGCCGACAGTTGACTGGCATCGTCTCCATCTCTTGGTTCCTCCTTAAGGATTGTGGAATTCTCGTTGGGGAGAGCATAATAAATGGAAGGTAGAGCTTTTGGGGAGGAAGAGGAATCCGAATCGGTATCGTTAAGGATTTCGTCCACGGTGCGGCGATGGGTGGCAGTTGACTCGCCCTCGTCGCTACTGTCTGAAGAGAGATCTCCACAGCGCGATCGTAGAAACAAATCGAGGTCGAGCTCCATGGGAGCTCTGAGTGGATTGCTCCACTTCCGTTCCCTATTTTCCCTTTCTTTCTGATCCGCCTCCTCTCGTCCTACAATAAAGCAGAAGAAAGGAAGGGTTCGGCTTGATTCATATTCTTTCAATGTTTGAAAAATAATTGTAATTACTCAAATATTTTAAATAAATTTATTTTAAATATATAAAAATTCTAAAGTAAAACACTTTGACCTTAATTTGGTGAGCGGTACAACACTAGTCATTGAATAATATATATATATATTTGTTAAGAACAAAGCACATCTAGAAGGGCTTATATGTGAAGCATATATAACACGAGAGATAATTTATTTTTGTTCCTAATATTTTGAACCACATGTAAGCAGCTGTAAAACAAAGACCGGACATAACATAGAAGTTAATGTGGGATGTCATCCTCAATCATCATTGACAATACTTTTTGCATGTGGAAAGCCACTGGGTAAATGCGCAACCAGGTATCTAATTGATTTGGAGATTAAGACTGCAAAATTGTATGTATTGTTGAACAGTCTAAATGTATAGCCTTTATTAGAGTAAAATTTTGTTCAATGTATCAAAGGTAACAAATTATTTATTTTTTATTTTTTATCTTATATGCCCTTTTATGTGTAGGTTGTTTGTAAATTTAATATCGATAACAGATACAAAAGTTACTTAGAGAATAATTGCGGATAAATTCTCAAAATGGTTCAGAATATACATGCGTCCATATAATCTTATGATATATAGCTATTTTTATCACTTAACATTTTTTATAGACAATTACTTTTAATATGATGTTATCAGTTGATTTTTAATATTAATACTGTTGTGGAACTGTTGTGAACCTGTTGTGGAACTTGTATGTGTTAGAATTGATAGGTTTGCAGGTGTGGAAATGGGATTGTTGGCTGGGAAGGCAATTTTTTTTTTGTCAATGCTACAGGTTTCCGGCGGATTATGCGCCGGTAATTCGTCGGAAACGACGATACAACGAAGTGTATCGTACGTACCGGCGAATATGATCCGTCGGCCACTACCGTCGAAAGTTCGGCGGATATTCCGCCGGTAATTACCGTCGCATTATACGACGGTAAATGCCGGCGCATTAGGCGCCGGAATTCTCATATTCTTCGCTTCTGCAAACAGACCGGGTAATGCGCCGGTAATGCGTCAGAAACGGCGCCGGAAATGTTTCCGGCGCAACTTATACGTCGGAAACAAATTATCGACGCACCCTAAACCGGCGGAGATATTTGCGCCGGAACATGCGCCGGAAACTAACGGTTCCGTCGGATTGTGCATTGTTTCCGGCGGATTACGTCCGCCGGTAATAACAGGTTTTCCTGTAGTGAATTGTGAGCAGCAAATGAAATAACATAGGAGGCAAAGAACCCCCATAGCCATGACTCAGTAAAATAGGCATTAGGCCATAAGAAAGCATCCCACAACCCATGGTTTCCCAAAGGCCATCCAAGGGGTACCTGATATAAGGTCACATCATTGTCCAAGGCTAAAAGAGCCCCATCAGGCATAGACAAAATCGAATTGAGCTCCAACAAGCAACCGAATAGCATAAGTATGCAACCAACCAGAAAGGCAACATTCCAACATCACAACAATGTCATGAGATGCTCAGAGTTTTTCCACTTGCTAATTTTAGAAAAAACCCACTTTTTTAATTCTTAATGAAATGGAAACAGCACAAAGCATGTTATTGTCATATCTCCTCTCATTTCTTTCTTTCCAAATGAAGTATAATGAGCAGCATATAATTAAAGAGTAAAAACTCTTTTCACCCAAATTTAAGTTAATCTAGTCAGAAATCCAACTGAACAAATGCAAAATGGCGGGTCTAAGCAGCAAAGCAGAGGAGCTAGGGATAATATTCACCAAAACCTCATAAGAATAATTGCATTCAAAAAATAAGTGGGAAGTGGTTTCATTGTGAGATTGGCAGAGAGGGCAACAAGGGTCAATCTGAATGTTTCTCAAGAGCAAGGCCTCAGCCGTTTTTAGCCCATCAACAAGAGAACGCCAGACAAAAAAAGAATACCTCAACACATGATTTTTGTGCCAGATATAGCTATACCACTGAGAAATGGGGGTATCATGATAAAATTTCAAAATAAACTTTGAAATTTTACCCCCCGTTAAGTCTTCCCAAACAACAGTGATGGATGAGGCTTCATTGATAGGTATAGCATTGATGATATTAGCAACGACTTCATGTGTAATCTGAGGGATAGACCAAAAATTTCCATCAATTAAATCTTTCACCTTAGAATTTGTATCGTGCAATTGCAACTAATCCCAACCACTTTGAATAGAAGAAAGAGTGGAGTTTTCACACCAGTGTTCCCAAAGAGGGAAATATGAGACTTAGGATTGATCTTGAATATGAAAGAGGATTTATCCATAACAGCAGTCGAGCAAATATCTTTCCAGAAAATGGTGGAAAAAAGTGGGGCTGGCCTCCAGGGAGAGTGGTATCTCGATAAGAGCCAACAAGAAAGGGGGGAGGAGATGTTGTACATTCTGCAAATAATGGTGCAATTAAAAGCAAATTGAAGAGCATGTAGAGATGACTGCCCCAAACCACCAAAGCATTTAGGCTTACAAACTTTAACCCAAGAGACCATTCTTAATTTCTTGACAACCGACGTGCCACCAAAAAATAAAAATCTGGAAGATAATTTTCTGATGAATTTGATAAACAACCGAAGAAGCAACAACTAGTAGACGCCACAGAATAAGTCATTTCAATCAAGAAAACTCAACAGAGCAGGAGCCCACAACAAGCACCCACAAAATCAACAAACCACAGAGAGGACCAATAAAAATAACCAAGACAACAACAGAAACCCAAAAAAGATCAGCCACCAAATAAGACCCTCCCAAAGAATAGCAAAAGCCTACAAACTAACCAGCTAAAAAGAGTATGCCCACCAAAAATCACATTACTTCTTTTTAGATTTTTGCCTACGACGTTTACCACCGCCATAAAAAAAACTTTTTGAAAAAGCTTTTTGAACAATATATTTTATATATTAAGGTGTTCTCGTTGATATGTGTTCAGGGGAATTAATAAGAAAGCTGGCTTAATTTCCCTTCCCCTTTTCATTCTTTCTTTACCTACAAAATATGTTGTTTTAGTCTGATATAATTTATCCTCCTCCATTCAACATAGTTCAACAAGATTTTTAATTGATCAATTCTTCAAGAAACTTTAGAGCTATATTTTTGCTCCCTTCTACTCACAGTTTGGGCTCAATTTAATCCTCTAATCTTGATATTATTTTTTCAAAAACTTCCAATCCAACATAAGAAAAGATCTGTTTGGGGTAATTTTTTATAAAATTGACCGTGAAGTTTCTATGATAAAAACAATTATGTACTATGGCTGTAAAAAATAATTTTTCGCACTATTCTGTTTGATTTTTTTTTTTTGGTTCTACAAAAAAAGTGTAATTGATTTTCACTGGGTTTTTTTTTTTACTCTATACCTTCTGATTTAACATAAAGTAAAATAAAAGGAGAAATTAGTAATGATCACTCCTATCAGAGTATCAGGCCGAAAAGTGAACTTTATGTGCGGAGATCGGATACAGATAATAATTCAGTTTTGCCTTTGTGAACAATAAAAACACAATTTACTGAGCTATTACTGTTCACAGAGATAAATCGAACGGTTCTCTGTGCCCGACCTCCGCACTTAATAATTTCTCCAGGCCAAGAGAGCCTTGCCGGAAAATTTAAGTCATTACTCATTAGCTACCCTAATCTCTTACTTCCTATTCCATTTGCAACTTCCTAAATACTACAAAGTTCTTAGAGATACCATACCCCTTAAAAGCCCCCGATTTTGGTCTTATATGCAGGAGAAGAAGATGCAGATGAGAACAAACAAAACCTGAAAGGAATCGATTCAGATATTCATGGATTTTTTTTTTTAAATTATCTCTTTTGTTTAAATACTTTGATGTGATTCAAATATAAAATAATAAATAAATAAATAAACTTTGAGAAAATATCTAAACACATACAAATTTTATAATATAAATCAAGATAAAGATCAAAATGATCGTCTAACTCTTTAAGACGAGTCAAAATGTTCCCATGCTATTTAAAATTCTTGATATATCATCAAAAAAATATATTGACCGGGCACGAATCTCGAGAGGAAATCAAGTTGGAAACTTTATAAATTAAATCGAAGGCCGTCCAAACTTCGATTTCAACAAACTTACAGTCAAACTGAACGTCTCGAAAATACGAACCCAACGACACCAAATTCGACTCAATCTGAGCCCAGATGAGTCCAAATCAAAGACCCAAAGCACATTTGGAAGATTTAATTCATAATTTGGATTACCAAACAATTTTCAAATGCGACATGCTTATAGTTGAATCAAGCGACTCAATGATCAGACAAATCCAACGAGCCCAATATCATTAAATTCTCATATCATTAAGACATTAAAATGTCCAATAAATGGTCCTTAATACAGGGAATCAACACTGACCGTCCATTTCAAACCACTCCCAATTTACCTTTGATCTTCCTCCTATTTATTGGTTCCACCACTCTTAGAAAATTATAAATAGACCCCTCATTTCTCATGAGGGGATCCAAGAAAGAAGAGAAGGAAGAGAGTTCACTTGACCCCCACCAGATTCCTCCTTGACCATCTCCTGGCCACAGATGGACGTCGGGCTTCCGCCCGTCATTAGATTTCTACTTGACACGGGACTTCCACTCATCACTATACTTCTGCCCGTCACCGGACTTCTACCCAATACTGGACTTATTCCAGTTGTCGGATTTTTACCCGACGCCAAACTTTTCACATGTCGTTGGACTTCTAGCTACCCATTGTCGGACTTTCATCGGACTTCTACCCAATGTCGAACTTATGCCCGTCAATAGACTTCTTTCCATTGCTAGACTTCCACCTATCGTTGGACTTTTGCCCATCTTCGGACTTCTAACTGGCCACTGACTGACACTAGACTTACACTCAAGTACTAACTGATGCTGGACTTCAAATCGGCTGCCAAATGACACCGGACTTCCACCTGGATTCCAATTATTCTTAGACTTCCACTCGACAACGGTCCTTCCGACCTCCGTCACCCTTCAGCTATAATTTTTATGACCTCCGTCGTTTGTCGACTACGGTCATTCTAACCTCCGCCACCCGCCTACTATAGCCCTTCTGACCTCCATGACCATACAACAGTCTTTTCGACCTTTGTCGCCCGCTGACTAACGTCTTTTTGACCACCGCCGTCCGACTAGGATTTTTCCAACCTCCGTCGGCCACCGACTATGGTCCTTTCGACCAAACGAACATGTCAATACTGATTCTTCATATTCCCATCATGTAATGCACTCCATATGATGCATATTTATTACATCAAGCCAAGACATTCGCCCCAAAAAAGGGCATCATATGTAATCAACTACAAAATACTAGTGGATTCATTTAAACTGTGCTAGACCCGTGGTTTTATCCCTTTATAGGATTTTTCATGTAAAAATCTTGTTGTCTCTTATGAATGTTACACCATCTCTTTCATCTGTTTGTGTGTTAGATCTTTGTACAATGTTAAGACGTTAAACTTTATACTTCTCTACCGCCGCAAATATTCCAGGACACAACAATTTTCATTTTAATCTTTTGACTTTTTAAATAGAAAACTAAATAATCTTGTGGAAGAACTAATTTGATCCATATTTAAGAGTCTGAAAGATCAAATTGATACTTTTATATGATCAACAATTATTTTACTCATACAAAAAAATAAAATAGAATACCGATTTGGTCCTTGTAAATTCCTTTTACTTCTATCCTTTTTCTTGAATTCATAGTTCTATTTTATTTTAAGGAATTAAGAGCCGAACCTTGAATTCTATTTTCTTCTAATGAATTAAATCCACAGTAGAAAGAAAAGCCAAAAACATATAAAAAGGAAAAAAATAGGAAAATAACGGAAAGCTCAGAAAATTCAATAACAGAAAATAGTAAAAACGGATCCATAAGACAACACAGTTATATTTGGCCGAGCGCCAATTATTCAATTCGTACGCAGCTGAGAATGATTTGGGGGATATTAACGAAAAAGACGGACGGGCTTTTTTCGGGTTTATGTTAGCGGTGATAGAGAACATATACATCTGTAGTAATTAGTAAAGTTCTTCCGTTGAGGGCGGCGTCTATTGTGCTTCCACAACATTTCTGAAGGCGAATGGGACCCATTTTTGGGGTTTATTTATTATTATTATTTTATTATTAATAGTGAAATAATTTAAATAAAAATAACTTTTTATAATGACTGCAATCATAAGATTCGTGACTAGTGAGTATTTGACCTCTCTCTAATTGGTCAACTCTTTGGCCTCCCACTCGATCCGTTAATGTATATTTAATTCTTTTTATATATAATAAAAAATAAATTCCAAATATAATTTAAAGAATTTTATTAAAAAATATTAATAGATTTTATTCAATGCATAAGAAATTCATAATTTATTTTAAAATAAATAAAATTTTTTAGTGTTGTTGGTAATCATAATGGTATAAATTCTCTTAATGTTTTCAGTAAATTCTAGCAATATTAAACATTTTTAGTATGAGGTTCATATGGTATATTTTTTTAGCTAACTAAAAGAAAATTTTGCTTCACGCGCTCCACTATTAAATTTTCATTAGGAGTACAGAGCATTTTTTGTTTTTTTTTTTTGAAAAACTGAGGGACAGAACATTTAATGCAAAAATAAATATTCTGGGAGTTTTTTTAATAATAAAAAAAATGTCGTATAGGTCTTATAGAAATATCTTATAATATATATATATATATATTGAAATCATGATTTTCTGAAATATAAAGTTTAGCGTCTTAGCATTGTACAAAGATCCAGCACGCATACAGATAAAAAAAGAGAGTGTGTCGTTCACTATAGACATCAAAATTTTTACGTATAAAACCTCTGAAAATGGGGAAAAACCACGGGGCCTAGCCCAGTTTGAATGAATCCACTAGTATTTGCAATTCATTACAAATGAGGCCCTTCTTTGGGAGAAAGCCTTAACTTGATGTACATCTTATATAGTACATTATATGGTGGGAATACAAAGAATCATTGTTGATGTGTTTGTTTGGTCAGAAGGACCGTAGTTGATAGGCAAAATAAGTCGGAAGGACCGTGGTCGACGGGCGACGGAGGTTAGAAGGACTGTTGTCTAACGACGAGGTTAGAAGGACGACGTCAGGTAGAAGTCCAACAACGAAAGAAATCCAACAGCGGATAGATGTCCGGTGAAATTCCGACAACGAGTAGAAGTTCGGCGTAGAAATTTGGCGACAAGCGGAGGTTCGATGTTGGGTAGAATCTGACCAGTCGGCGACTGGAGAGAACTCTGACATTAGATAGTATTCGGGCAAAACTCTAGCGTCACTTGGAAGTCGGGCAGAATTCGGGTGTCACTTGGAAGTCGGACGGAACTCCGGCATCACTTGGAAGTCGGGCAGAATTTTGGCATTAATTGGAAGTCGGATGGAACTCCGGCGTCACTTAAACGTCGGGTGGAACTCCGACGGTGGTCGAGGAGAAGTTTCTTCCCTCATTCACTATTCTCTTATCTTCTCCTTCTTATCTTCTTCTTCTTGCTTGGGTCCCCTCTTAAGAGAAATTAGGGGCTATTTATAGTTTTTGAGGATGACATTACCCGTAAATAGGAGGAGGATCAAGGGCAAATGTGGAGTGGTTTGGATGGACAGTCGATATTGGATCCCTCGATCGTGGACTTTCGTCAGATAGTTGAAGATCTTAATGATATCAGAATTCGGCAATCTTGGGCTCGTTGGATTCGTCTCATTGAGCCACTCGATTCGACTATAAGCATGTCATGTTTTGAAATCGTTTGGTAATCCAAATTGTGGTTTGAACCTTCCAACAACTCTTCGGGTCTTCGATTCGGACCCATTTGGGCTTAGATTGAGTTGAATTTGGTGTCATTGGGTTTGTATTTCCGAGACTATCAGTTCGGCTGTAAGTTTGCTGAAATCGGAGTTCAGATGATCCCAACTTTAATTTTTGAAGTTTTCAACTTGATTTTTGCCTCGAGATTCATCTTCGAACAAGACAATTTTTTGATGACATATCAATAATAAATATTTTTTCCATATCCTTCTTCTATTAGATAAAGATAAATTTTTTACTAAATTTGAATTTTTAAGAAGTTTCATAAAATAAAATAAAAAATCTAATTAATTAAAATTATTCTTATGGATATTAATTTTCTTAAATCAAATTCCAACATTAATATTGATTTTGAATACTACTCAAAATATTAAATAACTTTTAATAATTATTTTCTAAGTCAGGGATAGAAAATTAAAGTAATTGTTAGATTTCAGAAAATTATATAATATTCGACTAAATTTCTCAAAATATAAATTATAATTATCCTATTAATGTGTTATGAAAAAGTAGTTAGGGGCGGTCAAGTAGATCTTTAGTCCAAGACAGAGCTATAGGGTTACTTAAGGAAGAGATTGATGGTTCATGTGGGTGGCATAATTGTATTACTGTTCATAAAGAGGAGGTTGAGTACAGCGAAGCATATATCAACAAAGACTTCTTTGCGCTCAGAACTACCTCATTGGACCATTACCTGTCACTCTGCTCTCTGTCGTGGGCGCCACCACTCTCCCTCTCTCCCTCTCTCCATTTCCTTCTCCCTCTCTCCCCCCCCCTCCTTTGTTTGTTGCTGGATTCTTTCCAAAGTTTCTGTCGACAAATCCAAGGAGTGGAGAACAGAGATAGGTTAGCTCATATATAGAAAGCCGGATACCCGTAGACTGTAAAGCTTCCCCAATCACAATTTCCATACCATTCTTCTCTTCGATAATGGCGGCACAACCCCGACCATTCCACATTGCCGCCGGTGCCGGAGGCCAGCACGCACCGGTGGACACGACCTTCACAAAAATCTTCGTCGGGGGGCTCGCATGGGAGACACAAAGGGAAACCATGCGTCTCTACTTTGAGCGGTTCGGCGAGATCCTGGAAGCCGTCGTCATCACCGATAAGCACACAGGACGTTCCAAAGGCTACGGCTTTGTACTCTCTGCGAGCTCAAAATGAGAACTTTACATCGTCCGCATTGCTCTGTTTCTTAATCAATTGGCATCTGCTCTTTGTTTCAGGTGACGTTTAAGGATCCCGAAGCGGCGGCGCGAGCTTGCCTTGATCCGTCGCCGGTGATCGACGGCCGAAGAACAAACTGTAACCTTGCTTCTCTCGGCGCAATCCACCGGCCTCGACCGCCCGCTCCTCAACTTGGCCAGTCTCCTTGATTTCTCCCTAATTAGTTTTCAACACTCTTTCTGCTTGCATTTTCTTTAAAATTTTACAGGATTATGCTTGTCTAAATAGGGAATAGCCGGTTTTGGCCTCCGATGCCTTCGATGCCTTCCTCTGCATACCGTAGAGCCTCTGTTTCCAGTGCTTACTTCCATCAACCAGCTCACTATGCCTTACCTTATTCACCCTACGGGTAACCAAACTGTAGTGTTCCTTTTTTATTGCTCCCTCATCTTTCTCCTCCTTGTTTTGAAATGCCATTAAAAGCCTCTTCTTTGGTTTATCTGTAGTTACAGCGGCGGATACCCTCAAGAAAACTTATACCCAATGGTGAGATGTGAACGCCATAGAGAAGCCGAGGAATGATATATATGCATTAATGACTGAATGTTGTTGTTGTTGTTGTTGCAGAGCTATTACGGGTTAGCTTCCGGAGGGCAGCAACACCATTTCTCTCCCTATCCGGCAACATCGCCGGGAGTTTTTCCAAGCTTCTATCCTTATTACACTCAGTATTCACATTCCAGCCAAGCACAAGGGGGCTTTGGGCTGCATTACCCACAAATGCTTCAATATCCTTATGTTCCTCCTCAGCTCGGCTCTAGCTCTGCTATCCTTCCCTTGCCAACCACCATTTCCGCCACGACTGCAGGTTAAACCTCTTCTTCCTGCGCTCAAAATCAGACCTTTTTTGCGTACAACTTAATGACTTAAACTAAATTTCTTGACAGTGCAGTAGGTGCAATGGCAGCATCAAGCTCTTCGAGGCCACCTGGAAGCATCCACGAGCAGAGGCCAACTTCTTGATCTGAAAAAGTGGGTATTTGGCTCCCATGCATTTGATTTTATCCCTTCATTTACTAACAATGATCCAAAAAAGAAAATTTGAGAGAGAGAAAAAGCCATGTATCAAATGGTGAAGGAAGTATTGGGATTTCCTTCTCCTTGTCCTCTTTGCTGGCCATGGGGGACATAACTAACCTCAAATCATTCCATTCAACAAGCGATAATGGATTAGTTCGCTTGCTTCCCTAGTGTTTTTGTGGTCCTTACTGATCCATTTCTGTTCATTTGGACTTCTTTTTACCAAGGTAAATTCAGAATTTTTTACCGTTTTCTATTTCGAAATGACAAGTTTCAATTGCTCGGCGAAGAAGACGGTTTTATGTCTCGATGCCCGTAATTCTACAAGCAGCAGCAGCCGAGGGGATGGTTTCTGCTGATATATTAACATCATCACATGTAATAATCATCTTACAATTGTCTGTAACAAAAAACTATTAATTAAATTTATTGTAAGATCTTTATTAGTTAGACAAATTGAAACCTTCAAAGTTTTCAACTTTATTTTTATTCCGCTTTATCTGTTCTGATGCAGTACTCCTAGTGGCTGTATATAGACTTTTTCTTTTCAAATTTTTTTTTTTTGCTTTGTGGTGATTGAAAACATGTGAAAGAACAGCTTAAACAGCTGGATGGAATCCAAAGAGGGAGACAGCGCCGTTGGTGTGAGGAAGATACAGAAGTGATTGTAGAAGTGGGTAAGGAGAGAGAGCTCTATGGCTTACAGTTTTTTTTTTTTTTTTTTTTTTGGAGAGAGAGCTCAATGGCTTACAGTTCTCGTGCCGGTAAAAGAAGAGGAGTACTTTCTTTTATTGGAATATGCTAACTGTGGCATGCACAGGAGAGGAAAGGCGGCATGTGAGGGTAACGTGGGTGAGAGTGATGGTTATTGACTGTAAATTTGACCCAAGAGAGAGCTGATTCCTCGCATGTGTAAGCTGTAAAGGGGATAGTTGGGCTTTAATGAAGGCAATGATACTGGCTTTCGATGCTACCTTCAAAAGCAAAGAGTTATGATAGTCAAGTTTGTGGTTTTGCGACACCTCATTACTAAGATTACTGTTAATGAAAAATGTTTTACTAACTTGGGAGTACTCATGTAGGTCATCTTAGTCGGTTAATTGGGAGCTTTGATTAAGAGGTCTTGAGTTTGAGTTTTGAGTATATGATGTGTTTGTGAGTTTGCCTTAATTAGTCTAAATGTAAAAAAAAAAAAAAAAACTTTTTTTTTTGAGGTATGTGAGACATGGTGATACAGAAGATGAACATCATATATTTTGATGTCAATTAATGATAACTATTGGATAACAATTGACAAAAAAATCAATATGTGGTTGGTCATTCTCTTTTGATTGAAAGAAAAATTAGGTTTTTGAGATGATGAGCGTAAGATATTGATGATTAACAAATGTATATAGATTGTTGATAGAAATTAGAAGACAATTGACGAAGTTTATTGGTAGTCAGATGATGGAAAACCAACTTAGCCATTATGTTGATAGAAACTAAAGGCCAACCAATAAGACATGTATCAGATCCTGGTGGTTAGTCGACTTAAATGTTAAATGTTAAATGTCATTCATTGATTCATATTAGATCTTCGTTGATATTGTAATAGCCCAAAACTCTTAATTATCGAGATACTATCCACTTTGGTTTAATGATCTTACAATTTTGTCCCCTATGTGTAACTTCCCAAGAGGTCATCCATCTTAGTATTGTTGTTGTAGATGCACACTTAACTTTGGAGTTTCTATTGAAATTCCAACTGATGCACTAAAAGACACCTAAATATTTAGGAATTTAACTTTATTTTTTTGGGGGGCTTTACAATTTCTTCTACTTAAGTAACCATTGGCTTTATTAGCTTTCATTAACCTATAATTATCCACCAAGTAAATATGAGCACTTAGTTTTCATCTTCTAATTGATGTATTGCTTTGATATCATTTGAAACATTCCAAAGTCTTAGCCATTGATATATTGTTCGTTTTATTTCATCAAAATGTATATATACCACAGTACATGATTACACGCTAAAATTACATAACTAAATAATAATAAAGTCATGTATGTATAAAAATTAAAATAGAGAAATACATATAAACTCTGATAAGTCTTAAGATGCTAATCCACAACTTATTCTCTTTCCCATAGCCTGAAAATCATAAGCAAAATCACGGTGAGCTACAACAACTCAACAGGCCACACAAATCATTTTAAATTTCTAATTTCTTTATTAAATATTTTGCTTAATATTTAAAAATAATTAAATGCAATCTAATAAATTATTATACTGAGTAATGCAAGACGAGCATGGTAGTTATCCGATTATAAAAAAATAATATTGAGCATATGAATAAATTTTAATTCATATCATAGAGTAGTTCATAACACACCCGAACCCAGACATAATCTCAAAAGATTTTGATCCCTTATGACTCTCTTTTATGCTTGTAACACCAGAACATGCACGTAGAACATGGCTTAGAGCGATCAGAACGTTCACTGACACAGATAGAATCTCAAGAGATTTTGACTGATAACATATAGTATTTAATCACATGCATATTTTTCATCATATTATAACAGTTAAAGCGTAATTGAGCATGTGTCAGAATTACATAGTTTTCGCTAACGGTAGGCAACAGTAAACTCTACTAGGCAAAAATACACATTTTAGAAAATAATCAAATTACCATGAATTATGTAAAATATTCTTTTAAGACTTTTATCATATTACAACACTATTTTTTAGAGTCCATATAATTTCTCATTCAATAAAAAGCACAAAAATTCCAAAACCTATGTTGTAAAATTTTCAGAAAATACTCAATATGTATGTAATCTCAATCTTTATTGCATATAAGAGGTTATGCGATGAAAGTTTTACCATTGCAAAATTAACCGCATTTTTTGCTAACAAAAATAGAAATTTGATCATAAAATTATATAAAAACTTCTTATTTTTTAAAATTAAGATATGTGTAATGTGACCTACCTCGATCCAAACAATTTTTTGAACTGGGCCAATGACTGAAAATGACCTGAAGCGACTAAAAAATCCTTTTCTTCCTCCATAAATCATGCATCTTCTTACGGCTTTTTTTCAATCGGGTTAGAACAGAGCAATCCAGACGCTGAACTTAAATGTGTCACACTAATAAACATTAAGTGCTAGCTATTCATAAATCTACATGTTTTTACCTCATTTCCATGGCGTTCAGTTTCTTGCATGACCACGTACATTTGAAGTTGTCGGACAATGTCATTAGGTGTAGTTTTTATTTTATCAACTTTGAGGTAAATTTTTGTTCAAATTGGATTTTTATCATCAAATTCTTTTAAAACTGTATTAGTCTTAAATTACTTTTTTTTCATTATGTTAGGATGACTTAAAAATTAATTGCATATGGAGATCAACAATCTTATAATAGCATATTTTCTCTAAGAGGAATGTCCCTCTTCTAATTGTATCCACCTTTTGAATAATCCCTTATCTTATCTTTCTTCATAAACTCTCTTAAACTTAGAAATTCTATGTTTTGAACAAATTGAAAATTTTTTATCTTATAAGTTTATTAAATCTCTTTGATATAATATGGTGTCACAAAAATATTTGTGAGTAAATATCACAAAAAATAATAAAGCTGATCTTTAACATCCATAATCACATCAATTTTTATAAATCTTGAATATTATAAGTAAATTTATTTGATGTGAATTGGTAGGCATATCCTTTTACAGGTGAAGTAAATGAAGCATTTGATTCCAATAGTATTTATATGAAAGGTTTTTGGTGAAGTAAAACAACAACAATTAAATCATGACCCTTGAAAAGTTATTTCCTCAAGGATCCTTACCAACATCTTGTCCACTAATTACAACTACTTATATGAAAGAGAACAAATAAATTACTTCGACATCTTTACTCATCATCATTAAATCATATTCATATGTTGTATGAGCGACTTTATAATCTTATTGAATAAAAAGGACACTCATCTTGGTTTTGTTAAGATAAAACATTCAAACCATCAAACTTCTCTATATCAATTTTTATGGCATTAGATTTTTGAACTAGGCTTTGATAACAATTCTTTGTAATAAGGGTATTGAAAGTTAATCTGAAAGCATCACCTGAAGTAAGAATAATTCAATACAAATTTAAAAATAATAGATATTAAAAATACAAAAAGTAAGAGATATCATGATTTATATGAATCAACTTCAACCATATTTATGTCCATGTGAGAGTAGATATGACTCTATCCATTATTAAAAAAGTCATAAATGGAATACACAACAAAAGGAAATTCATTAAATCTTTCCAAATTTCACATGTAATCCTCAAGGTAGGGGTGCCAATTATAGACACGGCCCAAAAACTCGATCTGAAAAATATAATTTCAAGTCGAGCCATTTAATAAATGGGTCAAGTTCGA